TTGGGAATTAGAGCTGGGTTCGTTGTATCCGACTTCCAAATACGATGTACTTGATTGTATTTGATGTTATGCTATACAGTCATAACAGCCGTCTAATTGATGTGGTAAACCTAACCGTACATACAGGTTTTGATGAAACAGCTTCATAAAAGTGAAGTTTCTTTTCATGAAATGGCGTCAGACAATGCAGTTTTAAATAATGATAAATATCTATCATTGTGCGTAACGATGAAAAAAAATCTCCCAAGTCGGATCTGAATAACATGATTAATAGCAGCCGATTTGCGGCGGCGCTCCTTTACCCTACAAGACACTTTGATATGGATTTTCATCTATATGTTTTGCCAAATGGAACGTGTTTCACAAAAACCGGGTCTTTTAATTAAGCTAGTCCATCTCTATGACAGTTATGCCTCTTTTGCATGTCCACACAAATACTCGTTGATGAAAAGTATCATGTCGCCATGACCGAGCTTTCCTCATGCAGGGAGCATTCATTATTTTTACTTACGTGTAACTTAAGGATGAGTACCTATACAGCCCTCCTGTTCCCCTAACAGCACTACACTGGATACAGACAGGTAGAATTACATCACATCGGAAGTGGCTCAAGGACATTGCTCCAATGTGCAGGCTGTTACGGACAATTTAACGTAATTTGGCAGACAAGGTGTATTCAAGAAGATTTAAATCAGAGTACAGTCTGAGATCACTCGTTCACGTGTTGATGTTTTTTTTGCCGAGATTTGCCAGTTCTGCCCCCCTTCACATTTTCTTGTCAGAAGTCAGGGCAGCAATGAGTCGAATTGATATGATATAAGTTTATCGATGGTGGTGGTAGTGAGTTGAGTTTAACGCCGCTTTGACCAGTATTCCAGTTAGAGCAAGGCATGTCAGCCTAATATGGTAGGAAAGCCCGAAGTGATGCAGGTCTCAGACGTTTATCACTTTGGTGAAACCGACGAGCACGGTATGATGCTGACAAACCTAGAAACTAAATCGGGGCGAACCCAATGGGACGCAACTCTGCACAGAGAATGCAGAGCCTTAGACGACTTAGTCCCCTTAGTAGCACAGACCCCATACCGTATGATTGGAATAGTCGACGGGTCAATCTCACAGAACCTTGGGACGATTCCATAACATCATATTGAAGTTTGTTTTTAATTGGTCAGCAGGTTGGTCCGCATGCACAAAGCGAGTTTAGCGCTAGAATGATCGTAAGCCTATGTTAAAGTATGGGAGTTACGATTGTCGTTTCTTTGTGAAAGGGTATCTGGGGTCTTAAGAATCTGGGTTTTAGAGTATATATATATATACTACTCAAAGTTTCGTCGTAAAATATTTGACGTTAATGAGTTTGTATTTAGCGTTACCGATGAGGTAACGAACCTTGGATAGTAAACGACTAATCATTATCATTTAGCTTTGTTCATCTTCCGAAGGCAAGGGAGTGAACTGACTATAAAAGTCCAGTTTCCACCCTTTCCGAACTAGGCTGGAATCATGGATATATATTTTGGCCGGACAAACGAGTCTATGCACAGTCTAATCAAATTCGCGTAATGAATTCGACATCCGGTTCGTAAACTGCCGTGCAGATTTCGGTCGATTGCAGCATGTGTACCGTCAACTCAGCGTCAACATATATTTTCCAAATCTTTTCAAGTTTTTAATCAAGGTCTTCACGTGATTTGATGCTCTTCGCGAAGTAAGATTTTGTTATCGATCAGATCGTCCTGACTGGGCGCCGCCATTTTGTTTGAGGCACATGCATGTGATATGAGAGGTGGAATGTGATTGGTCAGTATGAGGGACAAAGAAGGGACATAAATCGTAACAGCCACTGGTGGCGCTACGATCGAGTCAAGAAATTCCAGCGGAGTTCGTAATGGTGACTGTAGAAAGATCCCGTTTCCAAAAGAGATCTTAAGGGCAACAGTATCGTAATTCTGTGTTAAGGTATTGGAGTTACGACAGCCGTACGCTTGGAGATTTTTAGGTAACGGGCTGCTGTGTGCTGTTCCACAAAGCGGACGTATTGCTTAGACGATCTTAGCTGTCACACTTAAAAACTGACCCTACGACAGTCTTGGCGCTAAGATCGCTTTGTGACATGGGGACCAGAGGGCCATTCTACACAGCTATGTTATTAGCAAGATCGAAAAGATTACTAGTAGATAAAAAAGATCGTTTCTCCATTTTTTAACATAGACAAGTGTTTAGTCTTGATCGCTCTATGGAACGAGTCCATAGTCTCTAGGGAGTCGATCTACAAAACAATCTTGGTGCTACGATCGTCGTAAATCAATCTTTAAGAGTGGGAGTTACGACCGCCTAAGTACTAAGATCTAAAATTTAAGAGCATAAAAACAAATGTGAGTTTGTCGAACCTATACTCGTACTTCTGTCCTCAGTCCTACATCAGCCGAGCTATCCATTCCTGCAGGACAGCTGTTGCATCACGGCATTATAACTGCTTCGACGCCATGTTTCTTTTCATCGTTAAGTGGGCTTTAACGACGTCGTCTCGCAGTGTCGGCACAATGGAACATAAACAATCCGTCAATAGTCCCACCATCAACCGCCCATACAGACGATGGTGACCTCTGTGGAGGTTATAATATAGGCGTAATGGTCAGCCGAGCTGGGACAGATAGGCACTTTACCGTCGGGGACTCTTGAGGACTGTTGGAGGTGAAATATCTTTTAACCTTCGAATATAATATATATGGCAATATAAATCAAAATGTATCCTCAAACTACTTAGGTTCCTTACGATTTAAATATGTTGGCTCTTTATGACGAACTTATGAAGATCAAGGCTTCGGCTTGTGAAGGGTCGAGGGGATTATGTCGGGATCAAGGGCATTATGCTGGGGTCAGGGGCATTATGTCGGGGTCAAGCGCATTATGTTGGTATCAAGGGCATTTTGTCGGGGTCAAGAGCATTATGTTGGGGTCAAGGGCTTTATTTTGGGGTCGAGGGCATTATGTTGGGGTCAAGGGCATTATGTAGGGATCAAGGGCATTATGTTGGGGTCAAGGGCATTATGTTGGGGTCGAGGGCATTATGTTGGGGTCGAGGGCATTATGTTAGGATCAAGGGCATTATGTTGGGGTCAAGGGCATTATGTTGGGGTCGAGGGCATTATGTTAGGATCAAGGGCATTATGTTGGGATCAAGGGCATTATGTTTAGGTCAAGGGCTTTATGTTGGGGTCAAGGGCATTGTGTTGGGATCAAGGGCATTATGTTGGGAACAAGGGCATTATGTTTAGATCGAGGGCATTATGTTGGGATCAAGGGCATTATGTTGGGATCAAGGGCATTATGTTTAGGTCAAGGGCTTTATGTTGGGGTCAAGGGCATTATGTCGGGGTCATGGTCATTATGTCGGGCTCATCGCGATATGGCTGCAATACTGCCGATGCGATGTAAAATTTTACTTCACTCACTCATTATGTCGGGATCAAGGGCATTAAGTTTGGGTCAAGGGCATTATGTCGGGGTCAAGAGCATTATTTTTGGGTCAAGGGTATTGTGCAGCGGTCAGTGCCTTTTTAAAGCGGCCAAGGGCATTATGTTGTGATCAAGGGTAGGTCCTAGTTCATGATGGTCATGCGAGGTTGTATAGCCAAAAAAGTTTTACAACATTGCCATCGTTCATATGTTGAGGGATGTGTCTATGTATTATATAATAACAATAACAGCTTTTTTATATTTCAGGCAATCATCCGAATATGCTTTGTATTAGTGACGTGACTACAAGGCCATTGCCATTGCACCATAAACAATTATTGCATAAATAATAAACAACTGCCTATAAATAGTGTAAACATGAAAGATGATTCATTGATTATCCGCAACATGACAAACTGGCATTGTGTTACAGTAGGCACACGTGTACATGGCTGCGGGACTTTAGTCACAGCACATGAACACAGCATATCTCTTATATCTCCAATACATAGCGAGATATGCCCATAACGTTTTTACCTGTGGAGACATAGTTTAATGACTGATTGAAAATACTGAATTAATGGGGATTGTATCCTCCTCGGGTGCTGCCAGTGGCGGGGAACATGCTTGCCCTTTTCGCGAGCGCCTGGTGTCGTCGCTGGTTTTCGAGAGTCCATTCAAGTGGATTTCACCGCTGTTTGCCTTTTGCGCCCAATGGAGTGTTTGGACGGGTGATCGGGATTGATTGTACTCTGGCATTGGCGTTTCGTGTTTACACACGCCATTTGTCACTCAGCTTATTTAACAAAATAGGACTTGGTCGACTGCACGGCTATGGGATCGACCATTTTTGGGGGTGGGGTGGGCGTATTCCGGGGGTGGGGGGTGTCTTTTTAAAAAATCAGGCTCATATTTTTAAGTAAAAAAACATCTGGTTTTGCAGCTGAAAGGAATATCCAATCTCCATGCAACGCTTGTTCAAACCTATTGCGATTTTAGTGTAGCTTCCGGTTGGGATGGATAGATCCCATGAATTCCATGCATCCCAATATTGTCCTAAGAGTCAACTTACATGGTCGCAATTTGTGACCTTGTGATTGTGCATCTTCGACGGAGTGATTGATTAATCGATATGATATATGTGACCACCGATCTGCCTGGTCCAAACTCGATGTAATTACAGACCGCCGTGATACAACTGGAATATGAGTGTCTGCGGTGTAAAACAACATTCCCTCAATCAGTAAAATCTAACCCTTGTCATGTGTGATATTGAAGAACAATAAGCTCTCGTAAACGTTTCAGCTGCAACAACAACAAACTACAACACAGAATCAATATCAACCTTTCTAAAGAGCAGCAACACCATATATGTCATATGGAAACTGACTAGATATCTATCTATGATCGATACAATGTATGTTGTACAAGCGTGATGTACATATGTTGTTAAGTTGTTTAGAAAAACCATCGGGGAATCAGAGCGAGGTGTTTCAATCTAAATCGTGTCACGTGCTTCAATGTCCATACCATATCCAAATGAACGTCACAAGCATATGTCGCACCCTGATGCCATCCGACTCGGAATATTGTCACCAAAATATAAAACTCGTTAATCACTGTTGTTAAACCCACACAACACGCCGGAAGTTGGACAGCGTGGCTGCCCCGTGTTTATGAAGTGGAACAATGCAGGCATCCAGTCTTTCAGCCGTATCCACGCAGGTAAGATAGCAAACTATTTAATATAGATTGAGCGAGCTTGGTGAAACGCGCACTGAACATCATTTAAATTATATCATGGTGTGTCAGCTTACTGTATACTAGGAGGAAGGCTTGAAGTGATGGAGGTCGTAGGCGAGTATTGCATTTGTGAAACCGCGAGAACGTTGAACACCACATGTATGATAATAATGGCCATCAGAATCATGAAAGAACAATAAGTGTAATAATAGACCGCGGGTACGTATATCGAGGTTAATGAGAGCTTATATTATAAAAGTAGTGAGTTTTGTTAAATCAGCTATTACAGATACTTCACGGCAGTATATATAGAATCGATTTGTAGCCAGAATCAGCGGTTGTGGGTAGAATGAGAAGTGACCCGTGTCATCGGTGCATGGTCACACAATCAGCCAGGGCAGCCACCCGATCCCCTTTATTAGGAGAGACCCATGACAACAATTATCGGGTATGGTCGACCCCGGAATCCCCTCTGAAAATTAATGTATATATCGTTCCCCGTGTGGCTGAAAATAGTTCTATGTTTGTCTTTTTGAGAAAAAAACAATCTCATTAACCCCGACGTGTATAGTGAACTTATAAACAACCACGCGTATGCATATATTGAACTTATCAACACCGATCCGTATGCATATATTGAACTTATTAACACCGATCCGTATGCATATATTGAACTTATTAACACCGATCCGTATGCATATATTGAACTTATTAACACTGACCAGTATGCATATATTGAACTTATTAACTGACTCGGAAAAAGCGTGCGGCTTTTTGCATCGAAGCGGGATATAAGGCACTTATACTGCCTCTCAGAAATCCACATGAATCCTGTCTTGTTCGTGGCGGGGTATAAAGGATTTATTCTCCCGCTGAGAAATGTATTTTTAAGACGGAATATATAGTATTAAATCAAGATCACTTAGACCAAACATATCTCATCATTTGGACATTGAGGTACGATAATGAAGCGAAAGATTAAGCCGAGATATCATGACTCAACGATGAGTTGTTGTATATTTTATGATAAGTTTCAGAGTAGTATCAATGAATCTGGAGAATTACAGTGATGGATTATGATCTAAAATATTCACTTCCAAAGAATAAGATTAATTCTAGGTCATAAAGATGTACAAAGCTGTTTACAGGCCACTGTCGTAATGACAGGCGTCTCGCTCTGCTGTGTTGGGCAACAAACAATCTCATTAAAATCAGATCTTAGTTCTCGCTATCTCCAAACAAAGATCTGAGGACATCCCATTACGGGTCACGTCAAACGACCTTTCATCCAACCAATCAAAGCGACGCTTACCAGATCATGAAAGTGACAGTCGGAATGTGTTTTCTAATCATTCAACCTCGAAAACGTTAACACGGGGTATTCCGAACGACAGTTACGGCCCGTGCGACTGATTCCGTCAAAATTTTCGTCTATCTCTCGCTTCCGTGGGATAAACATTTGAACGGAGGAGGCGTTGCACAGTACGTAGGAAGCACTGCCATACAATCTCAACCATATATTAGACATTCCGGAATGTTCATTTGTTCAGTTTTCAAAATATTAATCGAGAACTGTGTCAACATATTTTTCAAGCTTAGTCTAAAATGGAAGTCACCAGGTTGAAACGAGTGCCGTAAAGCTCGAGAAAGCTGCTTTCTAATTGGCTGATGTCGACTTCTAATTATTAATTTCAGTGGTCGGTTAAAATTCGCTGAAGGTCGTTCTGACATGACCCGTAATGGGATGTCCTCAGATCTTTGTTTAGCGGCAGCGAGAAGTTAGATCTGATTTGAATGAGATTGGGTAGCAAACAAATATTTCTTAGGCAACTTGTGTGAGTGATGACTGCTACCGATAGCACCTGGTACAATCGTCACCACTATTTTGCCTTTTACGCCGAATGGAATCTGTTTAGGCGGAAAATCGAGACTGAATATTTTCTGTCTTTGGCGTTAAATATTTGTTTGTTGTTTAACGCCGCGCTCAGCAATATTCCAGCTATATGATGGCGGTCTGTAAATAATCGAGTCTGGACCAGACAATCCAGTCATTGACATCATGAGCATCGATCCACACGATTGAGATCGATGACATGCATCAACCTAGTCAGCTAGCCTGACCACCTGATCCCGTTAGTCGCCTTTTACGGCAAGCCTGGGTTGCTGAAGACCTATTCTACCGTTATATATTTACGGATGTGGTACATTTATAAACAGACATGGTACAATTATGGCAAATATTGCCTGCCATAAATATTAATAAAAACGAATTCAGGCTCAACGTTTATAAATTAAAAAAGTATCTGGTTTTGTGGTTGTAGCTGACAAAATGTCTCATCTCGAATATATACATATCCCAGCACCCAACCTCCCACCCCAACTTGGAATTCTGTCATGGTTAATGGTGAAACACGCTTGTGTTACATCCCAAAATAGCATTACTAATATCAAGTTATTACTTTATCATTACAAAGGCACAATAACCCACTCTCGTTAATACTGTACTGACATAATGTTAACACTGTAACTATTAATATAATTATTTAGCATGATTTATGACTTCAACAAAACAGCCTTAAATTGATTTCTGCATATATCTGCACATTTTGGTAACAGCGCTGACTATGAAATATGTTTGTAGGAAGTCCAAACTTTCAAGCGTAAATAAACACAATTATGGTTATTTTTTAAACAATATTGTACGGAAAAGAAATGCTTTACTCTGGACACCGTTAATCCGGAAACGGTCACCAATATGATGAAGTTAAGCAGAACAGTTAGATGGGTGACCGCGTTCGAGAATCTCCTGAGAGTTTGTAGGGCCTAGGTCCAGCCCCACACTAATACAAGTGTGGTAAGCTGGTGTCTCCTCAGGCAAGTGACTGTGTTAAAATGTTCACCCGATAGGATGAGATGGTAATGTGTTGTTAATCTTCTAGCGCATTTCAGACAGCTTGGGTTGTATATCGAGGTTAATGAGAGCTTATATTATAAAAGTAGTGAGTTTTGTTAAATCAGCTATTACAGATACTTCACGGCAGTATATATAGAATCGATTTGTAGCCAGAATCAGCGGTTGTGGGTAGAATGAGAAGTGACCCGTGTCATCGGTGCATGGTCACACAATCAGCCAGGGCAGCCACCCGATCCCCTTTATTAGGAGACAGCGCTGACTATGAAATATGTTTGTAGGAAGTCCAAACTTTCAAGCGTAAATAAACACAATTATGGTTATTTTTTAAACAATATTGTACGGAAAAGAAATGCTTTACTCTGGACACCGTTAATCCGGAAACGGTCACCAATATGATGAAGTTAAGCAGAACAGTTAGATGGGTGACCGCGTTCGAGAATCTCCTGAGAGTTTGTAGGGCCTAGGTCCAGCCCCACACTAATACAAGTGTGGTAAGCTGGTGTCTCCTCAGGCAAGTGACTGTGTTAAAATGTTCACCCGATAGGATGAGATGGTAATGTGTTGTTAATCTTCTAGCGCATTTCAGACAGCTTGGGTTGTATACCACCACCCCCCCCCCCCCCACACACACACACACACCCCACCACACACACACACACACACACACACACACACACACACACACACACACACACACACACACACACACCACCCCACATCACACCCCCACACCCCACACCCCACACCCCACACCCCAACACCACCCCACCTCGATACTAGTCCTAGTACTAACTAAGAGGGTTGTGTTCATATGGGTTTCAATTCAAAAAAAGACTTCGCCGCGAGCTGTGGCTTATTGAGATAATAACCGCCTTATGTAGCGTCTTCTATATTGACGATGAGCTAGGACGAGGCGACATGGTTCATTAGATCGGAAAGATAATGTTCAATGACAAATCAAACTCTTTGCCCGACCATGCATGACAGTCGCACTTGTTCCCCGAGTAACATGCAATAGATTATTGTTACTATACATTAGAGCACGAACTGTTATCTCTATAATGAATGTTATTTTCCTTTGCAGTTTCTAGAAGGCACTTAAATGATCTTTTCAAATATCTATTTATGTTTAAGGTCAAAGTTCAGCGCTGTCTAAATCGTCTATTTATATGTAAGAATGTAGAATTCACATGAGATACATGGACTACGAGGTCACATTACGTGGTTGATGGCTAAGTGCTGTGGAATTATGCTACAAACCTAATTGATTGTTTTAATAACGTAGTACTGGTATGCTTCCGGAGTTTCATTTGATCATAACGACACGCTAATTATTGTTAATCAATACTGTTAGGCTACGGTGATGCGAGTCGTCATGCAGTGCATGGACACCGTTGATTCATTCTGATGTAATGATATCAGTGCATTCCAGAATTTTCGGTAACAGATTTTATTTTTATATCAAAAATAAAATCCAGCGATTCAGGTCTTACGTTGGTGAAACCCACGATAACGAGTATGGTGCTGACAAACCTAGACACATAATCAGGGCGAACCGGTATTCTAACCAGCGATCGTAGATTTAAGGGACGTAACTGGGCCTAGACGATTGGGCCACCAGTGTCCAAAGTGAATTTAATTTCAGGTGTGGCAATGGAGGATAATGTTTCAACGGCAACAGTATTGTGACAGTTAAAAGCACTATTGTGATACACGTAGAGTCATTACCATAGTATTGCAATATATATTTCGATAAGTCTGTATACCGTCCTACAATGTAGACTTTGTTACACTTAGGATGACGAAACCTAACACGTCCGCTAAATCCGCGTTCAAATCGATAACTCGGGGACGTTGCTTGTGAGTGAAGATATGTATCTCTGATGAGTGTCTGATTGAAATTTACAGACGGTTTTTAAATAGATAACCTCTTATGTATTTGAATAAAATAGAATTGAAAAAAAATTCTTTTCTCTAAAGATTCATCGAATGCATTTCTTACTGAATATCATTTTATAGTATATGTATGTATGTGACAAACCGTTGGCACCACGAGGGTTGGCTGAAT